CCTGTTCAGCAGTTGTTGACTCTATGCAGATCATTCTCGCTCAAACGGAACGCGACCAATCGATACAATCTCTTTTCGAGAAATTAGAAGAAGTTTACCGCTTCATGTCACAAGATGACACTCTTGGCAAGATTTCATCCCAGCGCGTGATCGCTGGACGAATTGCCCAACAGACTCTAGATTGCGCGCGTTTCATCAAAGTCTACTCAAAGAACAAGAGCTTTTGTAAGTCATCGAGTTGTTGCATTCCGCATACTGTGAATCTCGAACCATTATGACAGGGAAGAGACTCAGGAAAAATGCTGTCTCAGAGGTGGATTATCTGATCGAACGGTACAACAAGACTTTGGAAGAGCTTATGCAACAATTTCGGGACCAAGCCCTTCGGGACATAGCCGATCTTGTCCAGTTTACGAGTAAGAATTCGGACGTTCTTCTGACTTTCCATCCGCTCATACGCCTTCAGACGACGAACTGGGTGAGAAACTGGATCTCAGCGATATGCCTTACGCAGCAGACGCGGGACTAGATACCACGAAACAATGCCTACCAGAGACGCGCACAACCATTCTCTCGCAGATCACTGAATGGATTAACGACAGTAAAGATACTGCTCAGCGTGTGTTGTGGCTATCTGGCCCTGCGGGCACGGGCAAATCAGCCATCGCTCACACAATCGCTAACTGGTTCAACGACTCGGGAGGTCTTGGTTCGTGTTTCTGCTTCGACAGGCGCTCTGGAGCAGACGAGCGTCATAAAAAAGTGTTCTCCACCATTGCTCGCGACCTTGCTGATCGTGATCCAGAGTTCCGACGAACATTGGCGAATACAGTCGGACATGCAAAGGCGCTCAAAAACACGACAGATATCATCCAACAGTGGCGCAAGCTGTTAATGGAACCGTCGAAGAAGTTTTCAGAGTCGAGCGTGGGGCCCGTCTTGATTGTGATTGAGGCGCTGGATGAGAGCGGCGGCGTCGAGACGCGGCGTAACCTTCTTCGCATACTTGCCGGTAAACTGGAGGGCGAAGGTCTTCCCCAAATCACCGAACTCCCATCCAACTTTCGGATTCTTGTCACCTCTCGCGCGCTTCCCGATATCAATTCTGAATTTCAGGATGCTCCACACATTCAACGGTTATCCATGGACGACATTTCAAAAAAGGACTCGAAGAGAGACATCCGTACTTTTGTCTCCCACGAGTTGAAAAAGGTGTCCGGTCTTGGGGACAAAGAGTTCGCAGCCCTCGCCAACGAAGCTGGTGGGCTATTCGAGTGGGCGCGTCTTGCATGCAACTACATCCGAGACATCCCTGCTGGCTCACGCGCAATTGATCGCTTCAATGATGTCGTGTCCCACAATCATGGAGCGCAGGAAAACTTGTTGTATGGCATGTATGAATTCATTTTAAGAGAGAACATGCGGAAGGAGAAACACATGACAGAAGGTGGTTATCAGCAAACGCTAGCGAAGTTTCATTCTGTGATGGGACAAATACTTGGCTCAGCCGAACCGCTCTCTTTAGACGCCCTGAATGCCATGCGGCGCCATTTTCGAGATGAAAGTGAGCGTTACGAAGTGGAACTCGTGGTAGCACATATGGGATCCCTGCTAAGCGGCACCACTAACTCATCCGGTCCCATCCGACCCCTTCACGCATCCTTCCGCGAATTCTTGACAAACAAATCATCCAGCGGAGACTTTTTTGTGGACATGTCGAACTCGCAACGCAATCTTGCTTTTGCGTCACTTCGAGTGATGGAACAAGACCTTCGCTTCAATATGTGTGATTTAAAATCTTCATACCTCCCCAACAGTGAGGATACCGGGCTGCCAGATAGAGTCGCAACACACATTCCCCCGCATCTGTCCTATTCCTGTCGATTTTGGGCTACCCACGTCCGAGCAACGGACTTCGACACGGAGCTCGCCAAGGAAATAGGATCTTTTCTCGACCACGAGCGACTACTCTTCTGGATTGAAGCACTCGGCCTCCTCAATGCGCTCAGCAGCGCAGTCGCTGTACTTCCACTCATTAGCCAGTGGCTGAAGGTGAGAACAGAGTCACCTGGCGATGTCAGGCGAAGTGCTTACGTGCGAGCACAGGGCCATTCTGGATATGAAAGCGTCTTGTCGACTGCAACGGATGTGCAGAGATTCGTCCAGCTTTTCGCTAGCATGATTTTGCACAGCACGCCGCATCTGTATGTATCAGCGCTGTCATTTTCCCCCATCAAGTCCACTCTAGCTACAAAGTTTACTGCAAGATTTCCGAACACTCTTCGTCTGATGGATGAACGTCTTGTGAACTGGACGGCTATCCAGACCGTGATCAGTGGACACACCGGTCCAGTTTCGTCAATCTCGTTCTCGCCCGATGGCACTCGCATCGTGTCTGGTTCAGAAGATTCCACTGTCCGGGTGTGGGATGCAGCAACGGGTCTGCCATTGGGTGAGCCCTTCCGAGGGCACACCGAACCGGTTATGTCAGTCTCGTTCTCGGCTGATGGCACTCGCATCGTGTCTGGTTCACAAGATTCCACTGTCCGGGTATGGGATGCAGCAACGGGTCTGCCATTGGGTGAGCCCTTCCGAGGGCACACTCATTGGGTTTACTCAGTCTCGTTCTCGGCTGATGGCACTCGCATCGTGTCTGGTTCAAGAGATTCCACTGTCCGGCTGTGGGATGCAGCAACGGGTCTGCCATTGGGTAAGCCCTTCCGAGGGCACACTGATTCGGTTCTGTCAGTCTCGTTCTCGCCCGATGCCACTCGCATCGTGTCTGGTTCAAGAGATCTCACTGTACGGGTGTGGGATGCAGCAACGGGTCTGCCATTGGGTGAGCCCTTCCGAGGGCACACTCATTCGGTTTGGTCAGTTTTGTTCTCGCCTGATGGCACTCGCATCGTGTCTGGTTCAAGAGATTCCACTGTCCGGCTGTGGGATGCAGCAACGGGTCTGCCATTGGATGAGCCCTTCCTAGGGCACACTGATTCGGTTTACTCAGTCTCGTTCTCGCCCGATGGCACTCGCATCGTGTCTGGTTCACAAGATTCCACTGTCCGGGTGTGGGATGCAGCAACGGGTCTGCCATTGGGTGAGCCCTTCCGAGGGCACACTGGTCCGGTTTCGTCAGTCTCGTTCTCGCCCGATGGTACTCGCATCGTGTCTGGTTCAAGAGATTCCACTGTCCGGGTGTGGGATGCAGCAACGGGGCTGCCATTGGGTGAGCCCTTCCGAGGGCACAGTGGTCCGGTTATGTCAGTCTCGTTCTCGCCCGATGCCACTCGCATCGTGTCTGGTTCTTGGGATTCCACTGTCCGGGTGTGGGATGCAGCAACGGGTCTGCCATTGGGTGAGCCCTTCCGAGGGCACACTGATTCGGTTTGGTCAGTCTCGTTCTCGCCCGATGGCACTCGCATCGTGTCTGGTTCAGAAGATTCCACTGTCCGGGTGTGGGATGCAGCAATGGGTCTGCCATTGGGTGAGCCCTTCCGAGGGCACACTGGTCCGGTTTTGTCAGTCTCGTTCTCGCCCGATGGCACTCGCATCGTGTCTGGTTCAAGAGATTCCACTGTCCGGGTGTGGGATGCAGCAACGGGGCTGCCATTGGGTGAGCCCTTCCGAGGGCACACTCGTTTGGTTCGGTCAGTCTCGTTCTCGCCCGATGGCACTCGCATCGTGTCTGGTTCAGGAGATTCCACTGTCCAGGTGTGGGATGCAGCAACGGGGCTGCCATCGGGTGACCCTTTCCGAGGGCACACTCGTTCGGTTTCGTCAGTCTTGTTCTCGCCTGATGGCACTCGCATCGTGTCTGGTTCAAGAGATTCCACTGTCCGGGTGTGGGATGCAGCAACGGGTCTGCCATTGGGTGAGCCCTTCCGAGGGCACACTGGTTCGGTTAGGTCAGTCTCGTTCTCGCCCGATGGCACTCGCATCGTGTCTGGTTCACAAGATTCCACTGTCCGGGTGTGGGATGCAGCAACGGGGCTCCTATTGGGTGAGCCCTTCCGAGGGCACACTGAATCGGTTGAGTCAGTCTCGTTCTCGCCCGATGGCACTCGCATCGTGTCTGGTTCAGACGATTCCACTGTCTGGGTGTGGAATTCAGCGACAAAGCAGCGATTCCAGCAACACATTGACATCCACCCCTCCGCATTCTCTTTGGACAGACACCCCAGCACGCCTTGCAAACGCGAAACTACCGTGTCAGCCATTACTCAGAACCATCGCACCATTTGCTTCGCATCAAGCTTAGAACATGCACTGCAAAATCCTGATGAGCTACTCGAGGATGCCTCTCATCTTAATTCGAACCCTGTCATGCTGAAAGATGGATGGATGAAAGGACCCCACCATCGGCTGTTTTTCTGGGTACCACCGTCTTCCCGAGAACGACCATTTTATTATCCTGGGATTGTGTTCACGATACCCCGTGCGCAAGAGATTGATTTGAGTCGCATGGCCCATGGAGAAAACTGGTCGAATTGTCGAGATGTGTGAGCTCTCACCGTTGACTGTCCCTCGTAGTTGCTGAACCAATACTTCTAGCGCCAGTTGCAAATGATCCAGTTGTAGTAATACCAAGTTTACGGTTTTGTTCTATGTCGATTCTATACCTGCTATCGAGCTTGAATTTGAAGTTGTTCGCTATCGTCGTGGTGCAGAGTGGACGCTTCAGCAATAGCATAGCACAAGGTACCCAAATCTAATGTGCATCACAATTACCGTAGAGCAACGATGGCGCGATGAGGTTTGCTGCTGTAGTGTTCTTCCTTGTTCCTCAGAATACCTTAAGACTCGTCCTTCACAGACGTTTCTCATCGAACACAACTAACAATATGATTCTTTGATCGATACAACGTCGAAAACTAGCATTCTGATGTGGATATCAATTATGGAAAGCAAGTATTCATTAGAAGTCCTCCGGGCCCACGAAGTTCTGCTTGATGCTTTTCGCCGAAACGGACCGGTAGAATATGGTTGTTAGTCCCACTCGCTCATCCTCCTCCAAAGGGTTGTTGACCCACGACCGCACCAGCGCATTCCTCGTGGTAATAGACGTTGCCAGCAGTGTTGCGGAGCTTGTTTGTGGGAGTCAGAAGGGCTTTGCGGTCTGCGGCAAAGCTAGAGAAGAGGTTGTCAGTCAACGCATCGCAGAGATCTGAAGTGCGACTCGCATAGAGCCAATCAGTGCATAAGGCAAGGTGTTATTGATGAGTTCCAGAGTCTTCTCATAATTTGTGTCGTCGTATACATAAACCTAAAAAACTGTTGGTACATCTGACCGTATTTTCGAACAAAAAACCATTACAGCGATGACAGGACCAAATATCTTCTTTCATGGTGATTGATTCGGGATCTTTGGTTAGAATGATGGTAGGCTGCATGAAGTAGCCCTTGGAGTCATCACCTGTAGGATCATGAGAAAAGTCGCAGGTGAGTCATACTGTCCGCCTTACCGGTGCCTCTGATAAGAACATCCCCTCCCTCATCCTTGGCTTTCTGGATAAAGCCAATTATTTTGTCATGAGCCGGACGACCTCTGCGAGATTATTCGGCGACTGACGTTGACCCAGGTGACCCCGCTAGGATGACGCGACCTGCAGCAGAGGTAGTGGTAAGTTGGCTTGATGCGCACCCATATAATACCACTGGATCTTCTATACCGGTATAGACACTGTCGTTCGGGTTTCGTTCCTGTAGAGCACCGTGACACGAACTGGCCTCACGTCCTCGGTCCAACACTCGTGATAGCTCATGAGACGTCTGATGGTCCGGAACATTCAATTCAGTTGCTTGTATGCAGCATGTCACGCACCAAGGTGTTTTATGATATCTTCTTTGACAAGCCCAAGGTATCCCGACTTAACGTTGAGGGTACAACTTAATTGTAACTGGACGTCAAACAACTACAAATACAGGGGTTGCAACCACCATCAAGGATGCCAGTCCATGTGCATGGCCATCGATTTCTCTCTACAAGCGCCAGTGCGTCCATCCTATATCTCTTTTAGTGTCCAAACAGTCGCCTCGTCAACCTGTTCAACTCTCACACTCACACATTTGGTACGCATCAGCTGACTGATTCAAGCACTGACTCGATGGGCACCTGACAAGTTATTGATGTTGCGTTATCAATAAGCTAGGTCTCGAATCTTCTTCAACCCATGAATACACCCATGCCAACTTCCTTCCTCCTTTTTGCTGTGGACCGCTATGATCCCGTATGTCTCTGTTCCGTCTCACTGCTCTCGCCCACCTCTGATTCGCCCTTCTCTGTAAAGATTTTCAGCACCACGGAAAAGCAAAGGAGGTCGATGTTGAACGTCGAGGAGCCCAATTATGGACGATGAGGTGTTTCAAACCTGTTCCGAAGTTTTAGCGTGAATGAACAGTCCGCTCCAGTCAACAGGTGAGTCGAGTATCTCAAAAATCACCATCATTATCGATGTGAGGGCTGCTCACCGGCCATAAAGCGCTACTGATTAGCCTTTAGGGATCGAACTCGAAAATTCTCTATCGACATATCGCTTCCAACAAATCAAGCCCGACAACTGATATAAGGATGATACAGGTGAGCACATCGACATCACATTGCACCATTTATGACGTTCTTACGTGTTCAACCACCAGTGACAAACTCCATGACACCTGTGAATGTCCTCGATGCTGATCCGGCTGATCCCTGTTCTCTTTCACGTTTCCTTGCCTTGAATATATTCCACGGGTGTCCGAATTGCTGTCTCATCCTCGATTGCGCACTGTGTGCCTTGTGATTTAGAAGGGTGATGATATTCATCGGGATCTAGTACTTGCAGGTGGAAATTTATTATGATACATGAATGTATGGTAATGTTGACCTTGAATTCTATGAACGGACGTATCAAATATCGAAGCTTTTGTGGATTCAGACATGATTGAGGGAAGTAAGAAAGCCTTGGGCGTGCACGTACTTAAAGCAGTTTGATGTGGTGGGATGAGGAAAGGTGGTCTCGCTGAGTCCAAAGCGGAATCGACAAACGAGCGACGATGACAACCAAAGTTGGGCGGGACAAGGAAATTTGACGCTTGTAATACTGATGACTGTTAGCTGGGACGCGAGGAGAAGTAAGTGCGTTGCACAGAATTAGGGCACAGTGCACAGCTGCCATCCAGAAGGAGCGTGTTAGGTATATATATGATAATGCAAGACGGCGGGCGTAGCTATCATCACTGAAATTCACTTAGCATGATATGACAATACATAAATGATAATTTTACCCAATTTTGTGTGGCGATGACATGCTAGTATAATGGAATATAATAGTGTGCCATACTGTCGCCCTTTGATAATATTCTCCCTGCACGCAGCACTTCATAAGCAATTATAATGATATATCGAGAGACACACAGATGCTCACGATTTCCACTGTTCCTGACCTGAACGATTTCATGGTACAATTTCCTGCAGAAAATACCTAGCTATATAGTCATATTATATCTCACTGGCAACACTGGTCATGACTATGGTACCTGCCCACAGATTATCACTAACTGTCGCTGTTGTATGATGAGTACAGTTACTTTCTAAGATGTGATAACATTGTCAAATATACTAAAATAAAAAACGACATATTAACCCACTGCCTAAGTCAATCATTGTGGCTAGAACATATAACACGGTGTATGCTTTTTGATGCGTTGACTACTAGATAGAATTTTGTAGATTTGAATATAATTCATATGTATCCCTTTATCAGATATCTTGCTGGTTTTGACGCAAATGTATGGGAATCAATGTATTGCAATATAGCATACGAGGAACATTAAAGTTGGATTGAGTGTGGCGAAGTACGAAATACTCGAGAGCATCAATGTATGAGTGAATAAACAAAGAAAGTAGAGTGCGAGCACCATCAAAACTTGAATCTACTAGTACTAGACCTCTCATCCTCGGAGTCACTACACTCATCACTGTCACTGGCACCATCATCTGAAGTCTGTCCGTCATCATTGTCCTCGTCCTCGTCCTCATCCTTGTCATCATCCTCGTCCTCATCCTCATCCTCATCCTCGGTGATATCATCATGTTCACCATGACCATCCGTGTCTTCTACTGAGTCATCCCAGCGTTCATCCACATCTCCAGGTTCGTTGTCATCAGAGGTTTCTCCACAACTAACACCAATAGTGGTGCTTCCACTCCATTCATATTGAACTGCATGGCCAACGCCTATGCCTGCGAAACGACAAAACATGTCCCTATCAGCAAAGCTACACAAGTGAGTCGAGGTCAGAATGAATCAAGATGAATCTCACATATTAACATAGAATGCAGCCCAGTCATCTGTTTCACCTCGCAGTCTTGCAGCAGAAGGACCATGTCGAAGTAGGTTGTCTGTGCGAAGGTCAGCGAAGGCAGGGATCAGGTGGCACGCCCTGATCACAAGTGATGGGTCCAGGAATCCGAAGGCGCCAGGTGACTCGGGGATGAATCCAATTTTGGGGAGGCGGGCTTCTTGGAAGCCCCAGCGGTATTGCGGCACCACACCAAACCATCGAACCCACAAGACCTCCATGGTCTGGGGTGATCGACTACGAGCATTAGGGCCAACATGCAGAATATTCAAACAAAATGCACCCAATACTCGTGCATACCAAAATGGGTGTGAACCAGCACCGTTTTCCCTCGATAATGTCATCACTGTGGAGCCATGTCCAGGTCTCAACGTATCTTGATCCCTGCGGATGTCATATGTTGTATAATTGACTTGAAATTGTTTAGGCTGGAAGACGCTGTTGAGATTGTTGATGAAGCGCACGTCATTTCGTTCCGCATCCGTAAAGTCTCGTTCATCACCGTCATAGTCCAAACACAGTAAGCGGGAAAGGAGGTGGTCTTTGAGTTTGGGAACAAAGTTCTGTCAGATGATATTAAGGAAAGAGTCAAAACCATCACATGTGAACACAGCTTACTAAGACAGCGGGGTCACCATGGTGTTGTTCAAGATAGTGGGCTAAATTGACGGTGATGCCTGGGTAGCTTGCTAAGCAATGGTGAGCTTCGAGGGGTAAGTCTCCGACAGGCTTATTGTCGCTGGTGGCCACAGATTCTTGTAGACGTCGAATTCGAGTACGTCTCCTCTCCTGCTTCGCTAATTGCTTCAAATGTTCTTGCTTATTCGTACTTCGGTAGAGCATTTTCAAGAGCCTGTGCGCAAGCTCGCCCTGGACAAAGTTAGTAACAGTATTGCTCCACGAAGATGCATACATACTATTTGAGTTGTGTATGAATCAGTTGTTCCAAACATTTTGATAGAGCTTACATAGTCACCAAGTGCATGCAACTTGTAAGTTCGGATATTGAAGGACTTAGTACGAGCTCCAGATGTCCCTATTCCTGCAGTTGTCGAGTTTAGATTAGCGTCCTTCCTCTGGCGGGCACTTATTTCGCCTGGAAGCTCCACCGTCTGAAACACTGAGCATGTGGAGTCCCGAAATCTTCGAAGCTGTTTTCCTAAGTTTGTAAGAGCTTGACTAAGTAGGTCGAGTGAATCGTCGATGTGGATTCGAAGCTTCGCAAGAGCATGCCATTCCGCCAGACGAAATAGAAGAACACGGACAATTTCATCATGCTGCTTTGGGAATAGACCCTCAAATGCTGGAATTGCGCACTGGCAACAAAATCCAATCAAGATTAAATTCACGAATGATAGAAATCAGACTCACCTGTAAGATGTCCTCGAAATGTCGTGCAGCTCTCCGCTTCATATCAGATACATCTGAAGGGAAACGTCGAATGGCACCTTTGCCGAAGGACGAAATTAAGCGAAATCTTAATATTGAGGGATTGTCAGTATCAGGTGATGGCTGCTGCACTAACGAACACATACCGTTCATTCAGTAAAGTCACTGATTCGTGATTAATAGCATAGAGCAGCCTTAGAAGATGCTTGAAGACGGATTTGAACACTCCAAGCTCGAACTCGTGCAAAAGATCAACTACGAGTATGGGAAAGAAATCTAGGCCTAGAGGCCCAAGCCGCTCAATGAAGGTGTTCTAAGCACAAAGTATATTCAAATCATTCAAAATTTCAATAGAGAAACTTGCTTACGAGGGTTGGCACAAGTGAGAAATCCTTCAAAAGACGCTCAGCTGCAGCGCCCTTGACAGGAGCACCTAGTTTGTATATAGCGTCACGAGCCACAATGATCTTATCTCTGAGATACAGGCGCACACTGTTGATGCGAGCTGATATATCAGCCTTGAGACCAAGCCGATCAAAGCGTGATTTTGGCAGAAAACACCGAGGGCATGGACAGTCTCCTTTGTCACGAATAGCTGCAAGAAGCACTCTATTAAAAATCATCAGTTAAGATATGGAAAATGACACGATAAATGAGCTCACTTTTCTGGGTAATCTGCAGAGTAAGTAAAAATCCTCGGAAAGACTCGTCGATACACTCCGTCATGGCATTTGATCACAATACCGTTCCTATACGCATCAACAAACTCATCATCCAACAGGATGCGCCACAGCGCATGGAAAAGTTCACGTTTGCAATGAGCGAGGATGTCTTTGATGTTCTTCTTCTTGATGAACATGCTAATGAAGCGCACAATGGACTCTGGTAGCTAGAGATAAAGCACATTAGAACTTTCAGATGGGAAGGATGTAAAGCTTACAGAAGGGATAAATGCGATCGGGTGGCAGGCATTGGTAGTTGGGCACGCACGCATGTATTTTGATTGATTTCCAAAGAAAAGATATATTGGCCATGCGGAAGCATTCCCAAACTGGGTCAAGTGTGTTGCATCGGACCAGAACATCAGTCCAGCGATTACCCACTCCAATTTACAGCTACCATCCCTCTTCTGTTTCTGGAGCTCATCGTGAGCTTTGTTCCAGGCATCCGATGTGTAGAGCTCATCATACACTCGCTGCTCTTGACCAGTCAAAGGTGATTTCCAAAAGCGTTTGAATGGAGTGAAATGAAACCAGCGCGACGACGCCTCTGAGAAGGCAGCACAGATAACTGCCACAAGCGGACGGTGATGAAAACCCGGGACAGTAAATAATTGCCCATTTCCATC